CTGTAACTTTGAACGCTAATGGCACTTTGTTTTGATTACTCGAGGATTGATGCCAGTTTTCTAATAATATACGTCGATGGGAAAAAAATCCAAACAATCCTACTGATCAATAGGACCATCATTGCAAAATCATCACGGTAAAGTTATACCATGAAACGAGAGCTCAATAACTATTTCTTAAACAAATATATAGCTAACATATACTCTAAAAACATCCTTTACGGTATTCCTCGACAAGCTTTACAATACTAAATGGCTAATCCGTGTGTTTATACAATAAAAAACCAGTGCAGATTCTTGTGTACTTTGTTTTGGAACATCTGGTCATATTTCATTCTGAGTCATAGTTACGGCATAGAAGGAATTGGTGAAGAAGATTCATGTAAAATACCGAATTGCCTTTATATATGATGTAAAGACAAAAAGCAATTAGCAATGTGATTTGGTTATGTGCAAATACTCTTCGTCAACGGGGAGAGCTCAATGAAATCTAGGAAGGCATGAAAAGGTACAAGACGTAAAGAGAAGCAAGCTTTTAAGAATTTTAAGATTTTGCTCAAAAATACACATAGAAGCCTAAATTTACGATGAAAGGCATATGAAACGAGAGTGGTTTCTTTATGAGGGACGTATAACAAGCGATTCGACTCACGAGGAATTTCTAACGTAAACGGCTAATCGCAGTTCTACATGTTGTGGGAACTTCTGATCGAACTGATCGTTGTCATCGGCGTAGTGCTTAATCCTTGTTGCTTGAATGTGCTCCGCAATACAATGATTTCAGATTCTTACATGCGAATGAGCTGATCAAGAACCGAACTACACTCTCCGCACTATACAGTCTCCAACTTCCACTTCGCAACAAATGCTCTTTCACAATAAGTTTCACTGCCATCAGGTGTATCGATCAGAAGTACCACACGTAGGATTCTTTTAATAATACTGCAGATTTCGAGTGCCCTTGAATTCAACTGTTGTTGATGCTTTCAGAGTGCTTCTTGTGTTTTACAATAATTGGTTCAAAATGTTGAGGGATCTAGAAAAGGGAACCCTTAAAAACGCCATAATCTTCGATAAAACTGGAGGTGAGTTGAACTTGTTGATGATCTGAGAGCAGATAACAATTAACTCTATTAGGTGCGTTCAAAAACGACTCATACTCGTGGCACACTTTGATTACGTATGCCGTCGCCTTCAGGGGTAAAACGACTTGTACGTTTTTACATTACATTCTCTTCCAATAGCTTGAGCAGCAAAGGGATAGTCTATCACTCTCAACGATTGATGTCAAGAGATCGAAAGCTTTTAGATCTTTGCCCTCTATAATTCTCGTTTAAATTTCACGACTTAACTGATTAGACAATTTTTTCTATAAGTTGTGGATAATCTCCATACCATGACCTATTGTGATAGGGTGGAATAGAAAAATTATTTAGCAACAATATTCCACAAGATTTTTTATTTTGAAAAGATGGAATTAATGTCACTTCGGTGATTGGTAACTATAAAGAGCATTCACAACGTTCAGAAACGACTTTACTTTGATGAAATCCAGATAAATGAAAAAAACCGGATTCTTCTCTTATTTTTCGTCCTTGAATATGGTGACCAATTTCAAGATAATCAAACAATCTCAATGAATTCGATTTATCAGATTTCAAGGCCATCAACTTCAGCATGGAAAACAGCGACATCGAGTTTTTTTATCACACGGTAAGTAGATGTTGAATGTTGGATCATATGCCTGAAAATTAGCTACGCCTCTCATGGTCTAGAAAGTGTCTAGGGTTGGGGCACACCTAGTTCCGAGAGAACCAAGAAAACTATAATTGTAGAGCATCTAACTACATCAGTTGAATCTATTGAACTCTTAGCTATTGAGCCCAAACTAATTGGGAACAATTACTTTTGATATTGTCAAAATCCCTATCGTCAACAGGTGATCTTTTCATTCAACATATTAGCGGCGTCGTAGGTCAATATCACTCATTTCATGGAGGACTGTCCTTTTTGGCGCAATACTTTTCTGTTTCTGCAATACGCAATACATCCTTTGTGAACACTTGACAACTTATCCATCACATAAGTCACGTGGAGCGTCGAGTGAGAGATGGTTACACCATTGGAAAGGGCCTTGTTCGGGCGAGATCACCAGTTTAGTCTAAAACCGCGGTGGATGCTAGCTTATTTGCATTATTTTTGCGTCGCAGTAAGCGATCTAGAACACTTTGTCACCACGGTTGAGACAGTGTAGCGTTAAGGTAGATTTAGACGTGCTTGTTGAAGAGAAATGAACTGCTTGACTGTTGCACAGGGATGTGCTGCTCGAATGATAAGTTTCCACTTTATTCGCTGATGATTGTTGTAAAGGTGATCCCCCCAAAACGTGGTTATTTGAGCCTCTGCACGTTTGATAAATCATGAGTACATCAACAGTTTACGACTTAACGACAGCAAGGGTTCAAACGAACAAGCATTTTCATGGTGGATGAATGAGGTGGCCCAGAAGTTGACGAAGAAGTAATAGCTCCAGAATATTTGTGCAATGGCTGTTGAGTTATACAACAATGACAAAATGATATTGTATGTGATTTACTGCGGAAAAGACTTAACTATACCAAGATGTTGGGCGCGGAAGTTTCACTAGATGCAGAGACAATGGGGTAGATGAGCAAACAGCGTGCTGTTGAATGAAGTGCTCCAGACCGCACTGAAACATACAACGGTAACCGATGATGAGAGAAGTTGCGAATGCTGAATCGTATGAATCACAACATAACACGCGGATGGACCTATAGAGGACCACGAACAACTAATTGCATGTACATTATAACTGGCGATGATCTACGGAATGTACTTAGTTTGCATGAGCATCTCAATGCTCCTCTCATACGGACTTATGCACCACTGGCAAACACGGGACCATGGTTAAAGTTTGTTGAAGTAGAGAGGCAGGGCATATTAGACCGTGTGAGTCAGCATTATGAGCGATGCGTGCACGATTTTTGATATATCACATCACTAACGACGAGACCTGAGGCAGAATTTCCACTGCTATTTGTAGCTCTCGAAGTGCAACTCATTTTCAAGGTGCGCCTGATGCCAAAGCCACCCTAAGTTAGTGGTGTGGAAGATTCAATATCAGTTATCATGAGAAACAAAGTCTCTGTTTTTTTGATGTTTGGAAAAATTTAGCGTGCGAGAAATGCGCGTCCGTCAATGTTTTCACACTACGTATGCCTTCGAAAACATCATGTACTTTCAGCTCTAAGTCTTGTGCAGTGGAGGAATGCCACTGTATCAATGCAGAATACTAACTAGAGGTTGTGTCGGACCGAGCATGCTTTCCATTCCTTAAATGTTGCTAATTTCGTAGCTGACTTGAACCTTCCTTCGATCCACGAAGAGCGTGACGACATTTTGTAGTGAAGGCCTACGAACGCCCAGAAGCAACTGCCCCAAGATTATTGGGTCGAATCAACTCGCCCAGCGCCTGGCGTCGTTCTGGAGGAGGCCAGAGTTTCTCAAACGGCTGCCAACCTCACATGATAATTGCTGTCCTCATGAATAACAGAAGCAAGAAAAGAAATCAAGTAAACGAAGTTCGAGTGGTCATATAGTATGTGATAGCGAAAGTTGATACTAAGGAAAAAAGTAGGTTATCACTTCATTTTTAGTGACAATGATGCTTGAATGTCATAGAATTTGATCGGAAAGTAAAAGGAACGGTAAAAAACATTGAAATGTGCTTAGCCAACATCACATTACCTAATCTTAGAATGGTGGTTAGGTGTTCAGGTGGTTGACGACTACTTTTTCACCACGATAATTGAAATCATTCGAATCTTTTTTTCTCAAATTTTGAAATCAAGTGTTCCACAATCATGAAGAGATGTGTAGAAGATACATAGGATACGAAAATTACGTAATTTCCATTAATTAACCTAGAGAAATCGAAATTTTGGAGCGAAAAGTACAATAAGGATAGCGTGGTTATTTACACGTGGGTTATTGGTCGACTTGTCCTACACATGCATTGTTGCACTGTCGTCAATGTGCTGATTCTAAGATAATATTATTAAAATAGGAATAGCACCAGCGTATATGTCTAGTTTATGTGGTCGGAAAACATATCGATGATTTGATAGCTGCTATTTTCACCTTTTTAATGGATTTCCTTGACGTCGCTTTCATTTTTTGTATCATTTATCGTTGCTTTATCACTGTTATATTAACAATACCACTGTGCTCACATAAACTAACAATCAATTAACATCTTTTGCATATGTAATAGAGAACTAGGTAACTAATAGAGCGATCTCTATTGAAAAGTATTGAACTTTTATTCTGAATTCAAAGAACTCTTACAGGAATCTCACTATGCATTGGTGAGCTGAAAAAAATCACTTTATTTCGTAAAAACCAGCCCTTTGCAACAGTTTATTTAAGTTAGTAAAACGTTCAGCTTTGCAATGGTTATAATATCTGACGTTTTTTTAAGAAAAACCACAGATCTTTACAGAAAACTCTTTCAATAACACAGCCTCTCAAAGGAGTTAAACTCGATATTCATAAGATGCAACTGTCCCATGATGCAAAAAATTTCGCCTTATTCAGTACAGACAGCCTGAAATGCCCCGTGGCGATCACAAAGGTATGCACTTTGCATAATACCCGTTTCTGAGATTTCGTACGATGTTCAAAGCACTGTCCCGAAGATGGCTATTAGCTTCAGATAAATGAAAGCTCTTCACCATGGCTTCCGGGTCATCCCATACCTATGAAAGGAATTCGTGGAAAACACAAAGCGGATCCCACAACCTCACGTGACGTTATCATAGCAGTCCTTCACATAATCGTGTGAGTACATCTAACGTTAGTAGTGGATCTGAAAATGAAATTTTACAGAATGATAAAGTCGAATTCTTTTGTTTGACCACTTTAGCGGTGATATGATGTTTTAGATATGCCCAGTGATGTAGAGTGATGTGCAAAACATCTGCGTCAGGCGGGACTCGAACCCACATCTCACTCTACCCGGAAGCGCGCGCTCTGACTCGTTGCACTACTGACGCCCATTTTGCACACCACTTTTTCTACGCTGCAGCGCATCTATTTGAAGTTTCATTTTCAGATATTATACGTTTCTCGTCAATGTGATCATGCCTATATATTTCAGTAACGAACATGACAAGTCAGTTTTACCGTTATTCAACTTTTCTTTTTGAACGAATTACCGCTCTTAGAACTATAGCACAAAGGAGTGATACGTGCTGATGACGTCGTGTTCTCCCTTAGTAAGGCATGCTTCTGCTTCTGGTCATACTGCTGATATCACATGACAAAGCTTCATGTTTTAATAATAGGTTATTTTGGGTGACCTATATTTTTCTCTTGTTACCCACTGTTACCAGTATCTAAAGACGATTATTTATATGTTAGAAGCCAGCGTTACGTTTAACTGCTAATCTTCTTGAGGTAGAGCAGAATGTTTCCGATCGTCATGAAAATTGTATGCTGTGTACTAATACGCACCAATACAATTCTAGCCTGCCGGTTTCTGTTTCTCAGGAGACCCCAATATTTCATTTTTCTACGCATGAAAAACATACCCCTATGCAAAGTGAAAACATTTCCAAGCTCTTTCCTAGAACTTCTTACCTGTCTCAGTGACGTGGCTATGTTTCAGATTGTGTAAAACGTTGCTGACAGAAGGACCGCTACATCCTGCTCATGATGTGTAATTTGACTTCAAATATGGCGTGGAAACTTTAATTTTAGTTTTGAATATCGCACAGTGTTCCCGGTTTCTGATTTACTTATTTTTACCTGCACTTTTAGTTCCTTTAGTAAACATAAATGTGTGACGTATGTGGCATCCTTAAAAGTAGAACATTACTTTAAATCGGTTTCATCAGTGTGGAACGTTCTTTATTTTCTTTCGCTATTGACGACAAAGTATATGGAGCTGACTGGGTATAGCCTTAAAAATGAGAATGGTGGTAATCCGAGTTCAAATGACGTCAAAGTCAGAAAGATTCGAATCTAAAACATGAGCAATTAGATTAACTATAACGGAACCATCCTGTGAAATTTTCTTCTATGAAATACGGTACTTTCCTTCGCCCGCATTCACTCTCAGCTCTACGTAAGAAACGCTTCACTTTTTGTGACATCTTAGTAGTCATTCGAAAGCGTAAGTTTCGAAAATCTAAAAGTTGCATTTTTTTACTAACAGTCTTTTAAATATGCTATAACAGCAAGAAAAAAATTCTATTTCACAGTCAAACATTTTTCGCACAACAAAGCTTTCCTTTGAACCACTCGAGAACTGTTTGATGACACAAATCTCAACAATTTTAAAGGTATGCTTGATTTTCAAAAATATCTTCTTATTGCGTCGTTCCCGTCAAAGGAGCATTGGACTCCGCTTTGAACGCTTATTTCTTGTCGGCTAGGGTGGCGGGGATTACTTCGCATCGAATGGACAGAGCAATCACTTGCGTGTGAATGCAACTTTGAATCCATTGTTGCAGCGCAACAAAAAGTTTTTTGGAAGCCAGTGCCCCTTGGAATTCCTGAGATTTGAGCTGTCGAAGACTTTCCTCAATTTCTGGAGGAAAAACTTTTCCAAGCGAAAAAATGCTTAAGTGTTGAATAAAATTTTATTTTTACTGTTACAGCGACACATAGAGGTTTTTTTGAAAATTGAAGTGAACCGTTCAAATTTTCGAGATTTATGCAATTGAATGATTATCAAAAGGGGCGATGGTTTGATGCCAATGTTGCGAAATCCATTCACCTACCACTGCAAACTACACGCGCTGCATGTGAAATGCGATCTTAATTTCAGTGCTGCCGCGCAGTAGAAAGATATTTTGAGAAATGAAATACATTATGATATTCCGGAATTCTGTATTTCTACTGGCTTTTTCGCAGTGTTATGATGTAATTTAAATACCTAAGTGAACTGAGTGGTAAGTAAAAACTGGGCCTCAGGCGGGAACGGAACTCGCGTTTCATCCGTACAAGGGACGCGTGCTACTACCACTACACCACCGAGGCACATTTCGCTACCACTCGTTCTTCAACCTCTCTATGTTAACTATACGGAAACGAAACTGTATCGATGAAACGCGGGTCTGATTCCCGCCCGAGGCCGTGCTTTTGCTCACCACTCAGTTCTCTTCAAATGCATTGTTCAAATTGCTGAGATATCCGCTATGAATGTTTACTGTGTTTCCTGAGGAAGGGTTTTTGTTCAAGAAAAAAATTCTTGATTGTGAAATAAAATGTTATTTTCATTATAACATTGCAATATAACGATAACTTGAAAAATGAAATATACCGTTCAAATCCGCAAGATCAAAGCTGTGGAAGAGTTACCAAAACTTTCAAGATTAGCGAATGCTCTTTTACAATGAGGCCGAGATTGAGTACGGATAAGGGAAAAGTGTCGGATACACGTTCTAGCTTCTCACCTTTGTGCAACCTCCAGCGTTCCATACTGCTATAAGTGGGTCAGGGCCCCACGTCGCATATACATATTCTGGTCTTTGTGATAGAATCCGAAAGACCACATAGTGCAACATCTGAAACGAACTACTCACAAAACTTCATAGAGATACAATAAAACATAGCAGCAAGTCGTGTAACTCAAAAACAGCCAAACTACTTCCGTTTGCGACGCAAGTTGACTAATGTCTATAATCACTTATCAGTGATTTGATCACCCAACAGTGTACCAACGTAACATGCATTCATTCGATACTGACGGGAATCTAGTTCGTACAGTACCGCGGGGAGATATCCCTATAGAGGAACCGATGCCGAAATATTTACACTGCTACTGATAAAATCATCCAACAGTAGTCGAGCTCTCAAAGGAATTCGAGAGGTATGACTACTTATGTTTTATCAGCCACTTTAGCTTTAAAAAGATAAACTCTTTTCAAACATCGTGCACACTTCTTACTGTTGCTCCAATGTTAGTAGTATCTAAAGACGATTGTTTCGAATTTGCAGCCAGCGTTGAGCTTTATTGTCCCTGCTAATTGTAATAAAACAGAATTTTTTCGTCTAATTGCAGATTTATTGCTGCGTAATAATACGTAGTAGTTTCAGTCTAGCCTGTCGCTTTTGGTACATCGGCGAAGCAGATATTAAGGTCCAGAACATCTTCCATGCAAAGCGTGAATATCTTGACATTCTCATTAACCACTTCGTTCATCCTTGGCGATTACGTACTAGTTGTTCAGATGGAATAAAATATTTTCGACTACAGGGATTGTCACATTCTGTTCAAAATTATGCTATCGACAAGATTTGAAGTGAAATTTGAAATCAACTTCCAACACATAGTTTTTGCGGTTTTGTGATTCAATTCTTTGATCTTTATTTCGACTTCCTCTCTGTAAACGTAAACGTCTGACGTATCTAACAACGATAAAAACAAAACAATGTATGGAGTTTATTTTCTTAGAGAAGATCCTTCCTTATTGTCTTTTGTTGTTGACACCAACGCATCATGGAGTTGATCGGCTTTTTCTGACAAGTCCTGAAAAGTCAAGGTTGATCCGAGTTCAAGTAAGGTCATGTAAAATAAATTCCGGAAAAAACTGTTTTGTGGAGACTTTGTTTCAGAACACAGTTCACAGCCTTTCACCTTTCTGCTGCCTCCAGCGTTCCATACTGTCCTGAAGTGCGTCAGAGCTTCACGAGCCATATCCTCATTTTTGTGATTGAACTCGAAATCGCGTAATTCAAGATCTGGAACAAAGTTTCTGTAATAGTTAGTGGCCATAAAATCCAACATAGAAGGAACTTATACGATGGAACATGTACAAAGTAGTACATAGTAGTATGGAACAATCAAACCACTTCGCGTTTCTAACTCAAGCTGACTAATGCACCTTTCGTCTATGATTAATGAGATTACCGAAGTGGGTAGCTTGAATTGGTAAAAAGGTTCTGTTCGCTCACTGAGGCGACAGAATCATTTCTGCGTATTTTGCACTTCTTCTACACGATCGAAAATGATACCGAATACTGGCCAAAAGACGCTAAGAGAGAACTTCAGGAAACTAACGGTAAATTAAAGGGCATGACAGCGCTTCCACATCATTTGCAACCTGTCCCTAATCCACATTTTTTCTGCTTTTTAGCTGGATTATTTTTTGTCAGCAGTGATTTCTCCAATGGCAGCAAATGATGCGACCCATCGATTGAAGGCAATGCAGCTATATAACATGATGCCAAGATTTTTTGTCAAGAAAATCATAAATAACCTAGGTGCAAAGCTACTCCTAAATCTGCACAGTGGCTAGCCGATTTCTATGGCATACAACAGTCTATCATTCAGTGACGACTGCTGAATTACTAGAAGCGTCTAGGCTTGCGAGGCAAGGGGATGGAATGGAACTAAGATATATCATGCGCGAAAGTCATAAAGCGCCACTTCACGTGCTTTTTTCTTTCAAAATCTCTCTACTGAAACATGGATAAGCAGGAGCGTACAAGTATCCCATTCTAGATAAGATTAAGCAGCGCTCACCACTTGAGCTTTCGGTTCAAGTGATATCGACTTCAGGTAGGCCCGCCGAGCGTTATTTTCATCGCCCATGTTCGACAGCACAACTGAAATGGCGTTCGATTCCTCACTTTTACCACTTCTTAAGCAACTTCTAACCTGCTATCGCTCCAATGATTTGCGCGTCGTCTCGTTTCAGTTCAGAAGCCGCTTTTAGAAAATGTTAGCGCCGAACAGTGCAAGCTCATTGCATGATGCACCAAGCCAAGGTTGTAATTAATTCTAAGAGTGTTAGTAAACTTTTGCATACAAATCGAACTTTTTACAGATCTAGAAACTCCGTTCCAGCATTTATCTGGCCTGGAGTATCGCCTTAAACTTTATATAAAGTTAACTATGTTCTAAAATGTCTCTCACGATAACATAAAAATTGATGTAATTGTGAACAATGCCATTTTTTACTTACAGCCTAATCTGATTTCAACAAAATTGTGCGATGTGAAATATAATCACAAGAATGCTGAGATACGGGAAACTTTGAAATCTGATGTGTGGTAATGGACTCGAACCAGACGCGCATATAAAGAGTAGTCATTGTCCGAGTCCATTGTACAATTGTTAAAGCTTCCAATTTTGCTCGTGTCTCAGCATTCTTATGGCTAAATGTGGGTAATCTGAAAAAAAAATGCCAATTTTGCAACACTGCTGTTGCACTTTGAGACTTGGACAATCGTGATAAACCATTCTCGCTTTGGCGAGTGATATAACATCGAATCGGATAGTTAGCAATTGGGCACTTGTAGCTTTAGCACCTAAAGTCCAATTCCTAATTTAGTGGGCGCAAAAAAAAAAATCGCGCAGCCTTGTGTGCATCAAACTGCTATGATCAAAATAGCAAATGCACGCGAGTCCCGCGTGATCCATATATGAGGGGAATCCACTCACGTCGGGCTTTACATGTCAATGATTTTAGTACAGCGAGCACTAGTGGTGAATTGATCAAATTACTTCCTCAGTAGTTCTTCCGCACTACAAAAACACTTGTTACTTTGATACATACTCTAATATATGGTGTGAAATTTATTTGAAATGTGCTTTAAAATATATTTCGCCAACTATGCTTTCGTTGAGCAGCCATTAGGACGCAAACGATGGGTTTTTGCGTCAAATTCCTGTACGATAGCTCACGAGTGAGCAAATGTATCTTATTTGGTGATTACATTATGTAGAGTAAATATGATTTACAAACTGACTGCCTGTGTACGAGTAAGGATAATTTGTTCAAAATTGAGAACCGAGATTAGAACGCGTAAGCAGATGTTGAAAAGTTCTTGTGCCACTAAGCTCTATCTCACTGCTTGCTGAAACGGTCCATTCTATTCAAAATCCTTAGCTTCTTGCTTACTCTTGCTTAAAATTGAAACATGAAGTTCGATTGCCTCCTGGCGGTTTTTACAGTATTCAGCGTTGCAATCGGCATAGCGCACTATACAGGATTTCGGTAGTTGCACGTGGTCGAAAAATCTGGCCGTTGGCTAACCTAATTTATCTTTACTTTACGGTTCTCAGAATACAGAATCAATCACTAATGAAGCAGCGGTGAACGAAGAAAATAGCAGATAGTCTTTGAAAGTCACCACCTGCAATGTGAATGGACTCGCTTCTAACGTAAGTAATGGAATTTCAGTTAGAAACATTTCCTGGATCAGGCCGCCGTAATCTGTACTGGCAACAGAAAGTAATGAATGAAAAATATATTGGATTCTATGAGAGTCGTAGGGGTGTATCATTCAAATATTCGCCGATAACATTGGAAAACAAAGATGCTTCTGACAAATTTGACAAGAGACTATACATGCAATCCATCAATTAGGAATATTTCAAGGCGAGATAGTAGAACGAAAACTGTCCATTTATCTGACTTAATTTGACGCACTGTGGTTCCAATCGAAATAGAACTATATTTCTGTTTTTCAGATAAGCTGGAGTAACAGCTTGGTGAACGTAGTTCTTTTCAATAACAGCTTAATGGCTTGTGATTTCTGAAAAATCAGTTTTTTTCTGCACGTGCTCTACTGATTACCGCTTAGCTGAGCATTTTCAGGACCTTATCCGACTAACGGAGATTTTCCTTCAGTGGGATTTACGAGAGTAACTGAATTGTGATCACTGTATGATTGGTGTTCATATACTGAGGTGTCTTTGCCATGTGGTAACTTGATCGCTTGGAGTGTATTAAATCATGTACTGCGACTAAGATAGGGAAAAAATACTTGTAGTCGAGAGGGCAGATGAACAACGCTTTTTTCAGACAGCTATGTGCCTGCGCCAGTCGTCCCTTCGCCAAGAGACACACGCCTATGTTATTCCATAGACAGCCGTTGTAGTCACACGCATCCACAGCCACTCTGAAATAACTCCTCCGATTATAATCATACCCAAAAATGCTTACTTATCGTAATAATAGCGATTACTGATGGAAACTATTAGCAGTCGATACTACATCGAGATTATTTCAAAACATCGCTCAAAAATT